TTTTCTTGTTATTTTTCTCATCCATACTTCTTCCTCCTCTAATTTTTTTCCTCCCAGCTTTATTGCCCTTTTTACATTTTTCCTAGAAAGTATATCTAAATTTAGTTCCAGCATAGACCCACCCCGAGCGCAGTAACACGCGTATAAGCCTTACAACTCATCCTCATCTTCGTACAAATCCGCCAGAAAAAAAAGTCTCTCAGATATCTCAAATTTTCATTTAGTTGCATGCTATTGTTATAATACAGAACTGTTTTTTTATATGTTATATTTGATGTTTTGCGAGAATTCGCTGAAAGTTATGTGAATTTTGTTGATTAAGTTTTGATTTATAGAGGCTCATATATCATTCAGACTGTATGTTTATGCATGTGACTGCTTGAGTGACATATTCACACTATATATGCAATATATACATACAGTTGTATGTAAAAATACAAATATAGATGCAAATACATGTATGCATTTATGAAAAAAACATACAAAAAAAACTGCTTTCTAAACATATACCAAATATACAAAACATTTTGAAAATATAATGTTTAAATATATGAATATTAAATACAATACTAAACTTCAGCAAAATATCTACTAATACAAAAAATTTATAATTAATTATTAGTAATAATTACATACAAGATGCATCGCTAACATATACCAGTAATACGAATTCGAAATGTATGCAAATGGCCACAAAATGTATATTTTATATACAAACAAAAAAAATACAAAAATTCTTATACAAAAAGTATACAAACATACCCAACATATACAAACATAAACAAAATGTATGTATTTTTTTTCTAGCCAATAGCAAGCGAGATCCAATCGATCACGTGTTCCGGCTGCAGAGAAAGTTCACACGGTGCGAATTATATGTTGACTTATGTATGTGTGTTTGTATGTATGTTTGTTTTGCATATGTGTTTGTATGTATGTTTGTTTTGTATATGTGTGTTTATAAGTGGATGTATGTTTGTATGTGTGTTTTAGTTTGATTCGTTTTTGTGTTTTTGTATGAGAGTTTATTAGCTTGAGTGTGAGCGAAAAAATAGTTTGTATGTCGTTATAACTTTGTATGTTTTTGTTAGTATGTGACAATTTTGTATGCTGATATATGATATTTTCCTCTGTTTGTACATTTAGCTAACCATGATCGAGTAGATTTCATCAACTTAAACATATTTCAAGAAACTCGGAAAGTGTGTGTGTGTGTATGTAATTGTAAAAGCTTCAAAGTAAATGTATTTGAATAGATGTACGTACAATGCAGGGAGGTACCACTCCCAAATACCCAGGTATATAGCCAACTTATCCAGGCATTTGACTGCTTTGATTGTTTCTGTAAGTTACTGTTAAAACTGTTTTCAAATTTATTTCCCCAGTTAGTTTAACTTGTTTGTTTAACTCGAAACACCATCACCGTATCAATTCATTTGTCCTAATCGGTTGAAAATGGAAAAAAATAACTTGATGAAAACAAAAATATGAGAACAAAAACATTGGAAAAGAAGGGATTGACACTAATTTATTTACAAAACATCCAACCATCCATCCATCTATCTATCCATCGATTCATCCATCCATCTCTCTATTCATTCATCCATTCATCTGTTCATCTGTTCATCCATCCATTCATCCATCTATCACACTTAAAAATGAACAACTCAATTAGGAAAAAACATTAGATCAATTGAAATGTCTCTTAACTCTTGAGAAAAACCTCATAAAATAGGGCTATTTTTTTAGATAAAAAACCAAAAGGTACATATATTCACATACATACAAACATAGTTAAACACATACATACAAACAAACAAACAAACAAACAAACAAACAAACAAACAAACAAACAAACAAACAAACAAACAAACAAACAAACAAACAAACAAACAAACAAACAAACAAACAAACAAACAAACAAACAAACAAACAAACAAACAAACAAACAAACAAACAAACAAACAAACAAACAAACACACACACAAACAAACACACATACACAGATATCAATGCACGTACATACACGCATACTTATACACATATATATACACACATATTTTTATCTTTATGCATACTTATTTATATATTTATATAGGTATGTATATGGTTGTTTATGGTATCTTTTATGGATGTTTTATGAAACTTTGAGGGCTTGTGTGTTTGTGTGTTTGTTTGTATGTATGTTTGTATGTATGTTTGTTTGTATGTATGTTTGTTTGTTTGTTTGTTGTTGATACGCATGTATGTTTGGTAGTTTGTAAGTTGTTTGTACGTAAATGTGCAAGTTTGTATGTTGTTTGTTGTAGGAATGTGAATTAACTCTAAATGTTTTGTGTGTATGATTGCTTGATTGTTGTTTGCATATGAATATAGATATGTTTGTATGTTTGTATGTATGTATGTATGTATGTATGTATGTATGTATGTATGTATGTATATATGTTTGCAGAAAACAAAACTTTTTTCCCCATGAAATATTCAATGATAAAGAAAGATAAGTGAATGTAGCCAGTGTCCCAGCCTTCTCGTAAAAATTGCTTAACTTTATGCCAAGGTATGCCTGCTTGTATACATGGAAAGATGTGTGATGGTGAACTTTTTTTGGTGTTTTACTGGGTTTTCACCCGTATGTGTTGGTTCTACTTTCTAACTTTCTGCCTTCACACTGTGGGTATATTGCTACTGAAAGTTTAGGGCGACTTACAACCAATGATAAACTTATTTTGAACTACACTCACACATGCGAATAGGTTGAAAAACATCAATGACACCACTTAAAAACGTATACATAATACATACACCACACACACACACACACACACACACACACACACACACACACACACACACACACACACACACACACGCTCACACAAACACACACATACAAACACATACAAAGCATACATTAGTGTACAAACAAACACACAAACAATTATTCGCAACGTACTTGATTGAACTCTCTTCTTGCATGTGCTGTATGACAACCATCTATATTAGCTGTCTCATTTGTATGTACGTGTGTACGTGTGTATGTATGTGTTTGTATGTGTGAGTGTGTATGTGTATGTGTGTATGTATGAGTGTGTATACATACATGTATTTTGTACGTTGTGTGCCCAAAAAGAGATGTTTTATATCTCAATATATATATACTTTGAATGACCATATATGTACATGCTTACATGTTTATACAAACATACATACATACATACATAAATACATACATACATACATACATACATACATACATACATAAATACATACATACATACATACAAACATGCATACATACATACATACATACATACATACATACATACATACATACATACATACATACATACATACATACATACATACATATATACATACATACATAAATACATACATACATACATACATACATACATACATACATACATACATACATACATACATACATACATACATACATACATACATCCATACATACATACATACATACATACATACATACATACATACATTGAGCGCATACTAAGATAATATATTACCATCCCAGCACAAATATATGGCGATTTTGATGTGGTGTTAGATGCTCGAATGTTTGTGGATCCAGTCATTCGCGGACTGATGAAACGAATGAATGATTAGGTGGAAGAAAAAATAATTATTATTATTTAAAAACTTAATTACGTGTTTAATACTTCGTCATAATTTTCTATAATAACATTTAATATACAAAATATGTATAGATACATGTATAGTCACATACCAGTATATTTTACTACATACATGTTTATTTACTAGGGTAAACTACATTACTTTACAAAGAGCTGTTTTAGTATTTTTACTAGCATAATGAAACAACCAGAAAGTATTAGTAAATTGTTTTCTTTGTTAATTAAAAGCTTAGATGTATAGCCAATTGACAATTTTGTATTACAAAAAAAAATCTTTTTCATTTTAAATCTTCGAAAGATTGTATTATAAAACCATTGGTATTTGAACATCGAGCTGTGTATGTAACATTTATTCACTCGAATATCGGATAATTTCGATATAATTCATTCAATTGTAATCAAAACCTGCTTATATTGATGTTCAGAGCTAGTTAGAATCCTGCAAAACATAGTTCCTAGTGATTGTTTTATTTACTTTTTACAATTATACAACAAATAATCATCAATAAACTTATATATGTGTGTATGTCGATCAATTTGAAAAATTTTTGAAAAAATTTTGTCAAAAAATCCTAGACAAGTGAGTCGAATTTATTGTGATACCTTGATACTTTTATGTTAAACATGCTTCTAATGTATCGATAAGAACTTCGTATTGTTTTTAAATGTTTTTTTGAGATTATTTAAGTTTATAAGTCTATATTTTAACCTTTAATTTACATTGAATATGGTTTTCTTGATAGTCATAACGTTAATTTGACGATTGGTATATATTTGAATTGTTTCCATTGTCTAAGATGAAAGTGTTTTTTGTTGATTAATTTTATAGAATATATCAAATTTTAAAGATTTTAACAGCTGTTTCAAACAAAAATTTATCAAATTTCATCATCCAATGACGCTATAAAACTTCATCCATCCATCTATTGATTACAGAAAAAACAATTCGGCAAACATTTTCAAGAGCTACAACTTTTTTACAGATGTATGAAAAAAATTGAAACAATTCAACACCTGGAAGCATTTAAATTGAAGCTGATCAAAATTGAACTGAGAATTAAATTCAGAAAACCCAGAAATAAAAAAACAACCATCAACTTTAACGAAATAAACTGATTAAAAACACAAAACACGCACAAAGAAGCGTAGAAACATCACTTCTTACAACAAACACACTTCAGAACTTTTTTCTGATAAATTTGAACACCAACCGCCAAAATTGACGAACTAAGCTTCAAGCCTGACAAGAGCTTTCCGCTCTGCAAGTCTGAATTCGGCTCACTAGATGGCGGGGGATTGAGTATTGGTGGTTTTCTACCCTCGCGGTCCAACATGTCTTCCGCCTATCAAGGATTGGGATCGTCTGGTCTGGGTGGAGGGAGCAGCGGGAACAACAACGGAACCGGATCTTCATCTTCATCATCTTCTCATCTCAACAGCAGCAGCAACAATAATAACAACAACAACACGAGCAGCAGCAGCAGCAGTAACGGCAATAACCACAACAGCAGCAGTGGGAACAGCCACCAGCTACAACACCAACCACAACATCATCATCATCACCAATCTCTACCAGACCATCGAAGATTATTCAACGGGTGGAACTACCAGCCCGCAGACCCCCCTCCGCTCCCCCCTCCACCACCCCCGCCGGGTCTAGGCAGTCAGAGAAATGGTTGTGTCAGTAATTTTAGTCCCTATTCTAGTTCTCTACACGGACCAACCCTGCCACACAATCCATACAGCTCATTCGGAACGGGGACTGACTTCCTCCCACACCAGTTTAACCCCTTGAACCAGCTCTCTGCGGCCAGCCATCGCAACTTGAGCTCGTTTTACCCGGACCTCTACGGCCACCACCACCACCACCATCATCATCAATCTAGTCCCACGAGTTTAGCCGGAAGAAGTTTGTTGACGGATCTCGGGATGCCGCCAAGATTTGATAGTGATCCTCTTGGCAGTTACATTGCGGACGTGGGGAATCATCATTCAGGTTGGTTGGCTGGCTGGCTGGCTGGTTGGTTGGTTGTTTGCTTGATTGATTTGTTAGTTAACACCGGGGCAATAAAAACTACGTAACATCAACGCATTGGTATTTTTTTCAATGACATTTTTCACACTCAGTCGCCATCTGGCATTCGAATCAAGTTGCAGAGCACGCATCTCAGAAGTTTCGCTAACTTCATTTCATTTTAAATCATTCAAATATTCCAAAAAAAATTAAAATATAAATGAAATAATGTTAATAATGTTAATTAATTTAATTGGGATGACAATTCTCAAGCTATTTTGATAGATTTTTATTCAATTTTGTCTCCAAAAAATATAATTTGAAAGAATCGATAGGTGTGAGATATTAAGGATAATTTCCTGTTTGACGTGTTTGATTAACTTTTTAATTGAATATTTAATTAATTGATTGGTTGATTTGGGGCTGATTGATTGAATAGTTTGCTGATTGTTTGACTGGTTGATTAGAGATTGAATATTTGAAAATTTGTTGGTAGGCTGTTTAACTGTTTTACATTTAAATGAAAGTCACCACACGGAGGCATTAGTTTTAAGCCCCATAGTTTAAAGTTCAGGTGCATTGAAAGTTCAAGAGTTCATCAGATAATGATGATGATATTGATGATTGTAATGGTGATGATGGTGATGTGATGATGACGAGCAAATATTGAAAATCATGATGCAAACAATAACGACAGTAATATTACATACACACATTCATTCACATACGCACACGCACACACATACACACGCACACATACAAACAGAAAAACATAACAAACAAACGAATGCATATTCACACACACACACACACACACACACACACACACACACACGTTTCGCGTTTTACGTCACCATGACTACGAAAAGTTGATTTGATTTTAAATCTATTTCGCATTCGGTTTCTGGTTTTTGTACATTTGCTTACATATATTCAAACAAGAGAGAGAGAGAGAGAGAGAGAGAGAGAGAGAGAGAGAGAGAGAGAGAGAGAGAGAAAAAGAGAAAGAGTGAGAGAGAGAAGTAGAAAAAGTAAGAGAGAGAAAAAGAGAGAGAAAGAATGATAGAGAGAGAGAGATAGAAAGAAAGAGAAATACAGACGTACGTATTATCTCATTAAAAATTATAAAATAATTATAATATTTAACATTATTTTTATCATCGTCATCATCACCGTCGTCATCATCATCATCTCATCTCAAGTCCCGTACACGAGCTAAATAATTGAAAAGAGACGAAAGCAATAAATATAAAAATCACATAAGATCTCTTCATAAATTTCATTCTTTTTTGATGCGTTCTCTCTCTCTCTCCCTCTCTCTCTCTCTCTCTTTATCTCTTTCTCTCTTTTTCCTCATTATAATTATTTTCTTTTTTCTCTTTCTTTGTTACCTTTTTTCTTTTCCTTAATGTCTTCAATTCACCATAAATTTTTTATTCTCTGTTTCCTTCCTCCTGTCTCTCTCTCTCTCTCTCTCTCTCTCTCTCTCTCTTTCTCTCTTTCTTTCTTTCTCTCTTTTTCTTTCATTCATTCTTTCTTTTTTATCATCTCTCTCTCTATCGTTTCATCAAAAAACAAATTACGAATTTGACGAGTGTTTTAAGATGCGTCCGCAATGAAACATCGTTAGCGATCGATTGATGACGTAATTATGACGTCATCGTGATTATTTATGTGACGCCGCACGAATGACGGATTCTTAATCAGCAATGACTTGTACGTAGGCTCTATTAGTGGAATGATTTCATCATGACGTAATGATCTCTTAATAGACTCTTTGTTCATCACACCGGTATCGTCATCATCGACACGTCATCGTCACGATCATTATCACGAACAAGTAAACGAACAACGAACGAACAAACGAACGAACGACGAACGAATTAACAAACAAACAAACAGACGAACAACAAACTTGCCAACGAATATAAAAGCGGAAATAAAAGACTTTTTGGCTCGGCAGATGTCACACGCCATGAAAAAACATTACACCTAGCTATATAAAACAAGTGAAAATTACACAGAAACCCGTTTTTTCATATTATTATTCTTAATTTTTGGTAAATAAACCAACAATATCTAACAAACAACAACAAAATCACAGAAAATGAAGAAGAAAATAGTTATTTCACGAAAAAACGGTCAAAAAACGCAAATTTTTGCGACGCATCAACACCCAGGAAGTAAATTTTTAATAATGCTATAAACAAAAGTCATAAAATGTAATAAACAACTCATTAAATGTATGTGCTTATGTATGTGTGTACGTATGTCTCTGTCTATGTATGCCAGTTTGTATGTTCCTGTATTTGTATATGCACTGACACACAACACATTTCGATCAGACAAATTCTTACAGATAACTCTATCATTATAGGTCAAAAACACTACACATGATGAAAATAATTCAGAAAGATTTATACAATAATTCGACGAAAAAATATGGATTCAGCAAAAAACCTCTGGATATATATATATATATACATATATGAATTCATATATACACAGTAATAAAAAACGCGGGAAAATATATTCTTAGAAAAAGCGCGGGAAAAATGTTAATTTCAGTCCCGTGCTTGCATATTGATTTGTGGATGGATGTGAAAAAAAGGAGGAAGCCTAGCTTACTGGAGCCGAGCTTACAAAACTGCTGCTACCTTGATGGTGTTCAACCTTTCTGTTTTGTATGTTGTTTGTATGTTGCTGTTGTTTGTAGTTGTTGTTTGTATGTTGTTGTTGTTTGTATGTTGTTTGTATGTTGCTGTTGTTTGTATGTTGCTGTTGTTTGTATGTTGTTTGTATGTTGTTTGTATGTTGTTGTTGTTTGTATGTTGTTGTTGTTTGTATGTTGTTGTTGTTTGTATGTTGTTGTTGTTTGTACGTTGTTGTTGTTTGTACGTTGTTGTTGTTTGTATGTTGCTGTTGTTGATGTTTTTGGTGTTGGTGGTGTTATAATATAACTACTTTTTAAATTTTTTATGTTAAATTCTATATTTAATTTATAAAATTTTTGGAGCCTCATTGGATGTAGTCTTGTGGAAAGATTTGATGCTTGTTTGTGGTTTTCAGCTTTTATTTTTTAATCAAAGAGAGGAATTTCTTTTTCGTCATTCGAAGTTCGTGTGGTGCCGTTACAATGCAGTGTAACTAGCAGTCCTCATAGTAGATGTCGAATCATTTTTTTTTCAAATTATTTACTTTCATTTTTTTTTTCAAAACTACAAGTCATCAAAATTGTTTTACTTTTTAGAAGAAATTGAATAATGGAAAGAAAGAAATAAGTCTTAAAAAGAATATAGACAGAAAAAGAGTGAGAGAAAGAGAGAAAGAGAGAGAGAGAGAGAAAGAAAGAGCGCGAAAAAGATTTACAATGTGCCTGACTGGTGCATACATTTATATCATTTTTATTATCACTAATCAACATAAACAATCATATCTTATAATTCTATCATGAAGCTATCTCACTATCTCACATACATACATACACACATACATACATACATACATACATACATACATACATACATACATACATACATACATACATACATACATACATACATACATACATACATACATACATACATACATACATACTTACATACTCACCGTAATATTAATAAACATATCAAAACAAACTTCTCCTTCTTCTTCTCATTTTTGCAACCTTTTTCTTTAACTTTTCACTCTCTTTTTCATCATCATTTGTTTTTATCTCTCTCTCCTTTTCTTTCTCTCCCTCTCACTCTCTTCCTCTCTCTTTCTCTTTCTCTCTCTTTCTCTATTTATATTCACAAACACACACACACAAACACACACACATGTGTACTAACAACAGAAACTGGAACGGGAAACATATTGCTACATTTTGTTTACAGACCTGTTTGATAGAATGTGATAAAGAAAATGAATGAGGAGGCACCAGAGAGGAAGAAGAGAGAGAGAGAAAAAAATAGAGAAAAGGAGAAAGATAGAGAGAGAGAGAGAGAGAGAGAGAGAGAGAGAGAAAGTAAGTCAAAAAGGATGGAGAGACAATATTAGTGAGATATTGAAGAAAGAAGAGAGCAAACACGGATGGACGGAAGATAAAAAATGATAAAAAACTGCATACATCAAATGATAATAAAGCATAACGCTATGTAATGGCCTTCCTTATACATCTATGTATGTATGTTTGTGTGTATGTATGTATGTATGTTTGTGTGTTTTTTTTATATGTGTGTATGTATGTTTTGGGAATGATACAATAAATAAATAGATATCCTTATAGCCTTAGAAAAATAACCTATTATTATATATATATTGAGAAGAAGAAAGCGAGAGAGAGAGGGAGAGAGAGAGAGAGAGAGGGTGAGGGAGAGACAGACAGATAGATAGACAGAGAGATAGACACACAGAGAAAGAACGAGAGAGTTTGAGTAATTCAGTAATAACTACTAATAGTAATAACAAACGCCAATAAATAGCCCTCTAATATTACGTATAATTACACCAATTGACAGATGTTGAAACAATGAAGTATATATACCCAATAAATAGAATTCCTAATAAAAAATACCTCCAGCCAACAATCAATTATAACCTCTCAATTGACGATGAAAAATTATAAATTTAAAACATAATGACACACGCACACACACACACATACACAGAGACACACACAGACAGGCAGATACACACACACACACCAACGGTAAATACACATACATACAAGTCAGATATCATATACATTTGTATAATATAATGTAATTGTATTATTGGTATGTTTATACTTTTTAATAATCAGCATAAACAGGTTTATGTATGTTTATGTGCCATAAAATTTTTTATGTGTTTGTTTATAATGGCGTTTATGTTTTAGTTGTGCACGTGTGCGTGACTCTGGGAGCTATTATTGTTTGTATGTTTGTATGTTTGTATGTATGTATGTATTTATGTTTGTTTGTTTGTTTGTATGTTTGTATGTACGTATGTGGTTAGGGTTAGGGTTAGGTATGTATATATGTATGTATGTATGTTTGTTTGTTTGTATGTATATGTGTATGTTTGTATGTGTATTTTTGTATGTGTATGTTTGTATGTGTGTATGTTTGTTTGTGTGTATGTTTGTATGGATATATTTAGATACACGTAAGACTGATATAGAATGACATCCGTCATATTTGTATTGTACTGGACCACACACACGCACTGCATTCGTCCAAAACAAAGCATGGCGATGCTCTAAATAACTTTTTAATGTCGGCTTCCGACTTTCTTGCAGTTTTGTATTTTTTTTTTGTATTTTTTTTGTATTGCCTGGTATTGTATGTTTTATGTATGTTTGTTTTGCGTGTTTGTTTAGTATGCTTGTTTAGTATGCTTGTTTGTATTTTTGTTTTGTATGTATTTTTTTGTATTTTTATCATAGAATCTTATAGAAACCTCTTTATAAAACTCATGTAGGTGCGTGTACGCATGTGTGTGTGTGTGTGTGTATGTGTGTATGTACGTGTGTATGGGCGTGTGTATGTGATTGTAAGTTTGTATGTTTTTTCTTCGTTTTAATTGCAGAGTTTATGGTTTGAGCTGGAACGACATTGGTTCGTCTTGTTGTTTTAATGACGTTGTTTATGGCGTTTTTTGTTTTGTCTTTTGTTCTTTGTTTTGTATTTTTATTCTTTGTTTTTGATCTTTTATGTTCTAAAACAATTTATGCTTCAAACACACGCGAGCACAGATATATATACTAACATACAAAAAAACAAAGAAACAAACCTGTAAACAAAAAAACAAACATAATCAAACAAACAAACATACAAACATACAAACTAACTAACATACAAACTGACTAACATGCATACATACTTACATACAAATTAACATACAAACATACATACATACATACAAATTAACATACAGACATACATACAAATTAACATACAAACATACATACAAACTAATATACAAACATACATACAAACATGAAAACCCACTTGCAATCTTTGAACGCTCGTTGTTTAGAGCAATGCACTCTCCCACACAGGATCTATCGATGACAACCACTACTACAACTACTACTATTACTCTGCTACTCATGCTACTACTACTACTACTTTTACTACTGTTATTACTGCTACTACTACTAATACAGTTAATATTACTACTACTACTTCAACTACTAATACTGCAAGAACAAAGACAACAACAACCACAACAGCTACAACAACTACAACAACAACTACTACTGCTACTACTATTTAAGAAAAAACGAAAAACTTGAGAAAAAAAACCTAGAAGAACTTCAGAAAAATGTCAGAAAAAAGTGAAAAAACTAGCCAAACAGTCATAAGTTATTCTTTCAGGATGGTCCAGGCGTGAACACTCACATTACTAATGATTAGAACACTAATCCTCAACCTGTATGCGTGTGTGTCTGTGTTTGTGTGTGTGTGTGTGTGTGTGTGTGTGTGTATGGGCGTCTACGCGTGTTTGCGTGTGTGTAGGTGAAAATACTTTTTTTTTTTTTTTTTTTACAAAAAACATAAATGATACAAACACGTAAGTTCAAAAAATACCCAGATGAAAGAACCAAATCAAGTAGGAAAGTACACAAATAATACAAAAAATATACAAATATACAAAAAATACAAAATTAAAGAATGAAATAAATAGTCAAAAATACAATCAAAACTGAGAAAAATATCGAAAAACAAGATGCACAACGCTAGCAACATTAGCGCGTATAGATATAAGAGGAAACCAGATTTTATGGGGCAGAACTATTTTAGCTGGAGAAATATGTCCGCGTTTTGTTTTGTATGTTTTTGTATGTTTCAGTATATTTTGTACGTTTTTGTCAACGTTTGTTTTGTATGTTCTGCATATACTGTTGTATGTTTTGTATTTCCTGTTCAACATGCCCGCCATCGTCATCATAATCATTCTTGCTACTACAACCGTCATCATCATCACCAACCAAAACATCATCATCATCATCACCACCACCAACATCATCATCATCATCATCACCAACCAAAGCATCATCATCATCATCACCAACATCATCATCATCACCACCATCACCAACAACATCATCATCATCATCATCATCACCACCACACCCTCGAAACTCATAACTCAATGACGTCATGATTGAGTTTCTAGTTGGTTTTTGGCGCGAAAAACGCTTTTTTTTGGCCTCGTCCGGCCGTTAATTTGGCCTCGAAAAGTCGTTTCTCAAGGAACACCAAATGAACGACAGAGTGTAATAAGAGGACGAGTACCCGTGCGTGCGTGAAGGAATGAATGAATGAATGAATGAAGAAATGGATGGATGGAAAGATGTACTAATAAAAGAACTTTACAATCATCATTAGATTTATCACCACCATCATCACCACCACCATCATCATCATGATCATCATCACCACCGTCATCATCATCATTATTATCATCATCGTCATTATTACTACCACCATCATCATCACCACCACCATCATCATCATCATGACAAGCTATTTCTCATCATCGACCACCTATTATCTGCATCCGCTTTTTGGCATCTGACCATAAAGAAAAAACTCCTTCAAAATCTTCAGATAAACAAACAAACATACAAACAAATATACAAACATATGAACATGCAAACATACATACATACATACATACATACATACATACATACATACATACATACATACATACATACATACATACATACATACATACACACATTCATACAAACTTAAAAACATACCAAGAAAAATAAAAACAAAAACAAAAAACGCCAAAAGTTTGCATCAAAAAACAAACAAGAAAAAACTTGTAAATATAAAAAGCACATGTAAACTTGTTGATTTATATTTGGTTTGTCGTTTTAATGAAAATCTTTGTATATGCTAGTGAATGTATATGTTTGTATTTTGGTATATACGTGTTTTTGTTTGTTTGCTTGCTTGTATGTATGTATATGTGAGTATATATGTACGTTTGTGGGTATTGTATATGTTTGTGTGTATGCTTGTGTGTATGTTTGTATGTCCGTATGTATGTATGTATGTTTATATGTATTTCGGTATGTATGTATGTTTGTTTGTTTGTATGTATGTATGTATGCTTGTTTGTATGTTTGTATGTATGTATGTGTGTATGTATGTATGTATGTGTGTTTGTATGTATGTCCGTATAAATTGAATTATGTATTTTTATGTTTTTTGCTCCCCGCGACACCACGATAAATTATTTAAAATTTTCTTAGGATGGGGACGACGACGACGATGATGATGACGATGATGATGATGATGAGGAAGAAGAAAATGATGATAATAATGAAGATGAAGATGATAATGATGATCAGTACGATGATGATGAATGACGATGATGAAACTCCAATCAAACATGATGAAAAACCTCCATCACCGTCATCATTTCGACACTGTCATCATCATCTTCTCCGAAAATAACACAATCAACATCAGCATCACCATCATCATCATCATCATCATCATCATCATCATCACCACCACCAGCAACATCGTAACCACCACCACCACCACCACCACGACACGTGTCGTTGTCGTCGTCGTCGTCCTTATAAACTTTTCATAACTGCCATGCAGGCATTTATATTGAATACAATCATTCAACAGTTTTATGTGAGCTTTACAACTGAAAAATACGATTAATACAGGCGTATTCATCTCCTTTTATACCTTCTTCTGGATTAAATCAGCCTTAGGGTGTATAATACAATAATTTGTATCAATATTATAATGTTTTGTATCGATGATACAAAATTTTGTATCGACGATACAAAGTTTGTATTGATGATACTAAGTTTTGTATGGATGAAACTATGTTTTGTGTACAGCATTGCAGTTTTTTTGTTTTGTTTTGTAATGTTTCATATCAGATATACAAACTCCTGTATCAAAAAATACAGATTTTATGTATACTTTTGTATATTTGTGTATTAATATCATCTAGCCATCATGATGTTTCATAGTATGTGATTTCGTACATGCAGCGCCTTATAAAAAATTTTATTTTCCCTTATTTGTTTTGGCTATTTTTCCTTGTTTTTGTTTTCTTTCTTTTGTTTCTTTCGTTTTTGTTGTAGCGATAAACAAGATTGTTGACTATTTTGGTATGCCATCTGCAAGAACAACACATTTCACACATTTCTGTCGTGTATTTTCATGCCTCTCTGGTTTATAGCCCTCGATTTTTTGGGCTTTTTTTCAGAAAATTGACTTTATCACAAACATAACTACATATACAAACATACACAAATATACACTCAGATACACAAACATACACACAGATACACAAACATACACACAGATACACAAACATACAAACAGATACACAAACATACACACACACAGATACACACACATAGAAACAAACAAACAAACAGACCAACAGCAAGCGAGGCAGCGTAAGAAACGCAAACCGTACACCCGATATCAAACTATGGTCCTAGAGAACGAATTCGTCGGTAACTCCTACATTACGAGGCAGAAGAGATGGGAGATCTCATGTAAGCTACATCTCTCTGAAAGACAAGTCAAGGTTACTTATTATTATTATTATTATTATTATTATTATTATTATTATTATTATTATTATTACTATTACTAGTACTATTACTATTATTATTATTAATAATATTATTAATACTATTGTGAAAATAAATATATCCTTAGATAAATCTTTATAACCCAATATAACTATATACAACCATATATAACTCTATATAACTCTTTAATCAACTACAACATCAACAACAACAACATCAAAATCAACAACAACATCAACAACGACATCGACATCAACAACATCAACATCAACAACAACATCAACAACATCAACATCATCAACATCAACAACATCAACATATCAACATCAACAACGACATCGACATCAACAACATCAACATCAACAACAACATCAACAACATCAACATCATCAACATCAACAACATCAACATCATCAACATCAACAACATCAACATATCAACATCAACAACGACATCGACATCAACAACATCAACATCAACAACAACATCAACAACATCAACATCATCAACATCAACAACATCAACATCATCAACATCAACAACATCAACATATCAACATCAACAACGACATCATTAACAACATCATCAACAACAACAACAATAGGTGGGTCA